AACCCTCTCAGGTGCCTGTACTGTCACTTAAGCGCAAGATTTAGCCTGACTTGGGTCAAAACTAGTTATACAATATAGTCCACCCTGCATGCTTATGCACAGGTGCAAGACCCAATATAATTATCCTATTGTAATTTCCTCTCCATAATGAATAAACCTCAGCTTGTGATAACCAGGCTTATTGCTACTTGGGAATAAATACTGCGAGCTGGTTGTAGATACCGGGAGAAAAAAGATAGGACTACAAGGAGGTTTATATAGATACATTTATCTTACTTAGGGGGCTCGAGCCAAAATAACATTGTCATGAGAAACCCAGCTTCCAACATTGCTACAATACAAGCCATGAGCTTACAGGAGAGAAATATACAATTAAATGAAATTGGCATTAAAAAAAAAAAAAAAAAATCTGTCATCTACATCTTACCATCTAGTACAAAAGGCAAGAGTGAGACACAGCTTCTTCAGGAAACTGACTCTGGTCCTTTCAATAATCAACACTTTTTTTTTTTTTTTATAAATGGTACAGATCTGTATCTACACAAATAGGCAGTCAAGCCAGTGTTTTGGGTTGTCATCGTAGGTGTTGATTCTTGCATTTATTTCAGTACTGCCACCTTTAAACAGTTTTACGCCTCTATTTTAATTTCATTTAAATCATAGGCTGATACTCTGCTATTTTGCATCCCACATGCCAAGACTTGCTCCTTCTGCTGAATTCAGTTCTTTATGTTTCTGGTCCTTGGCTGTTTCGTTGTGCTGATGTGCCCTTTCAATCAAGAACAGGCTCTGTATTTTCTTCATTCTAGCAAAAAAAACCCCCAACCAACCCTTCTTATTCTTTGACCATCACTAAATTACTACTACAACAGGCAATTTAAAGGCTGAAGCACATGCTGCTCAAGCGTTTACAGTAGATTAAGGGGTAACTCAGGGCTGTGAAATGGTATTTAAAACTTTTTTCTTAGATATTGACCTCACTGGGGTGATAACTAACCCTCATCACACTCACAGAGAGAACTTTGCTCCTGGACTATGTTTAAACACTTCCAGAGGTTGTCACTCTCATTTTTCCAGCTCAGATTTTCTAGCTGCTCCCCTCAGTTAACTGATAATTTATTAATAATTCCAATGGCATCCAGGTACTTGCAGGTGTACTGTCAGAGCCCTTTGTGTTTCCTGAATCAGAACACAGTCCATCAAATTTCCTGGGTGTTTAATTATGAGAAAGATCAAGGGTCAGTAATAGGTCATTTGTGAGAAAATGAATTTTCATTGTTTGGCTGGCTGAGAAACTAATAAAACAAACTTAAAAATCACACATCTGTACAGAGGGCAGGGTGCCTTTTCTTACTGAATCATTGCCACCTAATACACCTGGATATTGAAACAAACATATTTCCTCATTTGCTTGTGCATGTCCTCCTTCATGGGTGATACCATAGAGCTGCTTAGGAACACCGATAAACTAACATACATTCTGATGCATTATAGGCACCAGACATGAGTCAAAGCCTTAAGTATCCTTTGATTGACTTGAGACTGAGACATAACAAATACAAGCTGATGTCTACGACATGCCCTTACACTTTCAAATAATGATCTTTCGAAACTTGTGGCAGAGTAACTAATTATCAGAAACAAGTTTTCAAAGGACTAAGTACCAGGAAGATAGTGAGGGCTTCTTAACCCCATGGCATCCTTATGCACCACAACCAATCAAATCATCAGCTTGACAGCAACAGGTTGGAAATACTACAGGAAAATCACTGCACTCCAGTTCAACAGCTAATGGCTGTCAGAAGTTTGCAGAGTCCTGTAGAACATAGTATTGCACAACCATAACACGAGCTAGGCAAGTATTTCACAGATTGAAGATTACTGAAGTTTTTAGTCACCTAGAAGCTTGCATTTACTCATTTGTATGTTCCTTTTTGTTCCCTAACTAAAGAAAGTCCACATCACCCAGTAAACTTGTTCAAGACAGAAGACTCTTCCCAGAACAGTTTAAGTTAAGAACATCTCTGTCTAACAGCCAAACATTAAATGAGGATCAGTGCCATGTGAAGCAGTCACGTTTCTTTCTTGGAAGACACATATACTATTTGTAGCTCTTTGTCACTTTAAACTGAAAGAGCAAATGACAGAAGCTTTATGAACGGCTTGTATTTAGACATTATAGAAGATGGACTCTTTTTCTTAAAGCATTTTAATACCACTGTATTAAAACTGACTGTGACTGGCAGTACCACGGGAGTTAGCCATTTATGTTAGGAATATATATCAGTCCCCAAGTGGGGCAGCAGGAAGTGGGATCTGAAAGACTGCACCTACATTCTTACACATTGCCAAGGAAGATATACTACATAAGTTATTACAAAGTTCAGGGGATTTTGTGGTCAATTTACATACAATACGTGATTTTACAGGACAATGAGGGATCTTCCATTCCATACTATTCTCCACAGATCAATTATTTCAAGAAGTCTTCCCAAGTACAGCCTTTGTTCAGATAAAAAAAAAGCAGACAGTGAGATTGAGACCATCATAAACTACCAGTATCAGTAATATTACTTGTCCTAAACACCAGTCACAACAGTATGAAAGCCAGATGCATTCTTCTCAAATAGCCAGTTACGGGACATTCTCAGAAAAAAAAAATAAAAAAAAAAAGAAAATAGCATTTTATACTGCAGTGGAATAGCTGATTTCACTTTAACACAAAAGGTAGAAAGGTGATAATTTCTTTAAAGCAGTTTCATGATTAAGTCATAAAATTAATCCTGGAAAATGAAGTCCCAGAGCATGCCTGTGTTCCCTTAGTGGAGGGATATGCAGGAGCTGTAGTAGTAACTTATCACATGATTATCAGCTTACTGGTGGGATGTACATTTCCATTTCTGATACAAGCAATTTTTATGCATTATCCAGCAGTGAAGATGTCTTCCTCCAAGCCAAGATGTGCTGTGTGCTCTGTCCTTCTCATAGGGAAGGATAAATCTGGCATTTTTAACATTTGGATTTGGATGCTGACCTTGACAATAACTCTGCCCAGGTCTGCTGGTGAAGATGTGGACAGAATGGCATAACCAACATACTGGCTCTATTATAACAGATCCACCAGAAAAATTTTGTAGGGAAGAGAAAAAAATCCTTTGAAGTTCATTGCTAATGCTTTCCTTTGCTCCCGTTAACCACGCTGCTGTTTGCTGGCATTTTTGTCAGGAAATCAAATAGTTATCTGTATTCCAGCTGCTCATTCAAGTTACCTTAAAGAAGCTGCTCTATCCAAATAAGAATCAAGGACTTAGGCAGACCTAAGCATAAAAGACAACATCTGTAAGAACTAAGTGCTAACTTTGCACCACAACCTCTACAAGGTCACCTTCTGATTACAGAAATAACTAAAACCAATGAACTATCACAAAAGGAAGCGATTCTGCTGTACATGGTTTTTATTATTTACATAGTACAATATAGCACAGATGTTGGGTAGCAGAATTATGTGCAATACATAAATATGAACTATCTGTACATGTTTGCTTATCTAATAACTCAGAAGAACAAAGTTAGAAGCAAAACCATGATGTTTTTAATAGGAAAATTGACTGAACACTGCAATAAAAATCAGAAGTTCAGTAGTGCCTTGTGTACATAACTATTTACAGATGAGAACAGGTATTACCACAACACTAGTCTAAACTGTACTTGTTTATATAAAACCCATGTTTCATACACCACAAAACCCCCTTCCATTATAACACAGAAGTGATATTATCAGACAAGCATCAGTGAAGTATACTGCCTTTTCTAGTTGTTATTGTACAATGCTGTAGATAATGCAGCCCATGCAATACACCCAAGAACACTACAGTCCCACACTCAAGTACAATTAAATATGAGAAAAGCAGCCCTCCAAGAGTGGTTCCAACTACCACTTAAGTCTACAGCAGCCATGTTGTATATGGTTTTCCATGCAGAATGGTGCAACTGTTAATTTTTTCTAGTTTTAAATGTAACTCCTAATACTCTTTTGAACTCAGAACACACAGAACGTAAGTATTGTATGAAAACTGCTCTAATGCTTCAGCAACTTGTTCAAACACATGTTGCTTGAGAGAACTGCTGTGGTATGCTTAAAAACATACGTAACTTTTTTCTGTAAGCCAATCTTACAATATTGTGCTACACAGCATTTTTACCTATGCAAGGAAAAGCAGACAACTTTGAAAGGCCCGTCCATAGGTTCCTATCAGGACACCCGTCCACAGGTTCCTATCAGGACAGTTCCCGTCCATAGGTTCCTATCAGGACAGTTCCCGTCCATAGGTTCCTATCAGGACAGTTCCCGTCCATAGGTTCCTATCAGGACAGTTCCTTTGGGAACCTATTTTCGTTACTCTAAAGTTAATGTCATCTTTTCCAAAAGACTTTTCTTTACACACTTATCTGATTTTTTCCATTTTTCTCATTGCAACTGATAACTGACTTTCTTGATGTTGGCTCTAACATGCACCTTACTAGGATGTTGGACTCCTTTACATAGCTTACGTTCTGCTGGAAAACAATGGAGCATGGAAACTAAAATTTGAATGAGATTTTAAATTACAGAAGTAGACTGCCAACCTTTTTGATGTATCCTTCTCCAAAACAGGCATATAACATTAGCCAAAGATTATAGACCTCAAACACATCTCAAAAGGCAGATCTGCTGCAAATCTGCAGATAGCATATGTCTGTTTGGCACATGTGAACGAGAGAGTTTGTCCTCTGTGCTGTGTATTCCTGTGCAGGTTTCTGATCATCCAATTATACTCTAGTGAGGGCATATATATTTTCAAGGGCTGTATCTATCCAATTCTGCCTGTAACAAACATCCAAACATTCTGAAATATCATTAAGACAGACAAGACTGAAAGTAAAGCTTTGGAGAACAAAGGAAAATGGCCATGCACCTGCTCTTTTGTGTTTTTCTAGGATATATTTAAACAAAGTCAGTCTTTTTGCAAGCAGGTTAATTTATATTCTCTGGATTTTTTCAGCCACAACAACTGGATTCTCTTTCCTGATTTTTGCTGCAGCTTCTGCTTTGTAATCATACGGGCAGTTATGCTTGTCAGAATAACGGTGAAGTCCACAAAATAAGTTTCCACATCGGCAGTCAAATCCTGTTCACAGAAAAAGAATCAACATCACTAGGAAGCTTCATGTCTAATTAAGTTGTACATTAAGGCCTTAGTCACTACAAAGGGGATATGTTTGTCTACATTTACAGGCAGAGCAAGAAAAATGTACTAAGTTGCTTGGATTCTGAAGAAGCAAGTAAATTTAATGGTACAGATATTTCATCAAGTTTAATTTAGCAAGAGACAACTAATCAGATCTGTTCAAAATGACAAAGTGTTCTCATACCTGTAAGGCCAACCTTCTTCCTGCACATGAAACATCTGTTCTTCTTTGGTTTGGGCAGTTCAGGAGCTCTCTCTTCACTCTGTGATGTGCTAGGCTGAGAAACTGATGGGCTTGGTTGAGTAACAACTGTTAAAGCAAGCAAAGGAAATAAAGGTTAAGTTTTATTTTCTTGACTTCACTAGCTATATAATTGCATGCATGCATTTCTTAAGGATTGATTCCCCCTACTAAGACCCCAGTGTTTGCTGTCTAAAGTACTACATAGACTCATCTACAAAAGTATAAAACCAGGAATAAGGATTTTTAGGTACTCTATCTTGCCTTTTGTCTCTACATAAGACAATGAGATTTTCCCCACAGTTCCACCAGCCAGAAAATAAGGCACTTGTTACACCTATACAGGTGTATACAGATATTAAGGGCTTGGAAAGCACTCCTGAAGTTCCATGGACCCATCCAATATTTCAAAAATCATATGATCAAGTAACATTTAAACAGTAATGAGACTGTCACAGCTAAAAAGTTGCTGAACAGAGGGAATACCTGTAGAGAATATAACTAATAGGAACATATTTTAGAAACAAAAGAAATTCAGTCATGTGCTACTATCATAGTACTGGATTACTCTGCCACTACATTTGTGAAGTCAGATGCCTAAAACAGTTCAGAGAGACAGCAAGCTAGCAAGCACACAGTTCAAAAGAGCCCTCATGTTTTCGACACTTCCAGTAATTTGAAGTAATTTATATTGAATATCTGTATTTTTATACTGTATTCAGCTTTAGCGTTCAAACAGGTATAGTCAAAATGAGTAATTTTTCTATTGCTTCTGTCACGAACACTTTCAGACAAACCTGAGTCACCTTTTACTTAAGTTCTCTGAAGGATAAAAAATTGTCCTTTTGTGAACTTTTGTGAATCTGGTAATTTTGTTTAAAAAAGTTTTTTTGTTTTCAAACTTTTTTTGAATATCCTCTTTATATCCCAGCTGGAACAGAGAAGAGCTGAGACATGTATTTGTACACAACTAACACTTACTCCTGGTACAGCTTTCTTGAACACTCCCAGTTTATAATGACATTTATTGTTCTAAAATAGAACAAACTCCAAAATGCATTCCAGAATAAATGGAGTATATAAGCTTTAAGGACCTACTTGCCATCAACTTCAAGACCACAAATAGGATTTGTTAGCTGAGATTCTTTTGAATCAGTAAGTGTATCACATGAAAAGTGGATTTTTTTCCAGACATGAAGAAAACAGTTATGTTTACTGTTTTTCTATCTTTACACTTCATACTTGTTTAAAATGGCATTTGCATTACCATGTTCATAGGTTATAAAACCATGTTCTAAAAACCAGCTCATGATTACCATTAACACACTGAAAGTCTCACAATTCACCATATGATAAGAGTCCTGAGTGAAGACTTCAAAATCTAAAACAAGATTTAAAAGTGACAAGCTGTCAGAGGTAACAAGGAGCCTTCAGTGCTCATCACCAAAAAATTTCATGCAGTAAAACAATGCTTGTCAATATTTTCGCATACATTACAGCAACAATCCTAATGAAGAACTAAGGCCATTTACTACCTTTATTTTTTGTCACCTTGCACGCATCTTCTTCTAAAAATGTTCAGTGTCAGTTCTATTTTGCCAAGTCTGAGGGATAAAGAAAACTATTACAGCACTAACACTACAATCACTACTGCTATTGGTACTTCTTAAAGTAATTGCTGCTGCTGCTTTTGGGTTTTTTGATAAAATAATTTTTCTGGATGATTAATATTTTCTAGATGAACAGATATGATTCTCTGAACTTGTCTTTAAATCCCAAGGAAGCAGTATTCAGTATCAGTTATCTATTTGAGAGCCTGTGACCAAAAAAAACCAGGTTAAAGTGGTATCACAAATAGCATAAACCCGTTGGATACTGTGCACCTTTCCTAACAGCCATCAGCTATGACTTTAAGACAGACCAAACACCTCCCCAAAAGTACTGTCAAGCTCATTTTAGATTTGTTATATTTCTAATCTGTTTAAAAATTGAATGTTAATCATAAGCCACAGCAGATGAAAGAGAGGAAACAGAAATGCTTTCACATTTTGCAATTTGGTGTATAGCTAGCCAGGCGGACACTTCATCTGCATCAGAAACAACTTATAAATACAAGCACTGGGAGCATGCATGTCTTTTCAATCAGATGCAAAAGAAAATGCAGAAGGGGCAAATCAACAGTGACCTAAATAACTTAAGTCACAACATGCACTAAGAGAAAATGAAAACAAGAAGAGGAGCAACCTTTACCATGACTAACATGTCAACAAGGAAGCAAAGTAGAAACAGCAACTTCCCAGGAATCACCAAGACAAAGATATAGCTTAGTAGATCGATAGGCAAAGACACTGAGAACAAATACATCTAAGGGAAAATGTTACCAACCACAAGTATACTTCCTACTTCGTATGAAGAAACTGTGACAACTGGAAGCCCAGAAACTGGAGAAGTGATGAAAGTGATCCTAATAAACTGAGGCAGCACATTTCCTGAAAGGGCTGCTGAACAGGATCCTTTCCCCAGAAACTAAATCATGTTCCAAGAAAGAAAAGCAGTACTCACAAGATAAAGGACTCTCCTATTCTTTTATGCCAGTAGTTAAGTCTGATGAGTATTTATCACATTAAATCTTCTTAAATGTGCTCGTGAGTAATGACTAGGACAGAGGCAAAGTGGCATACACTGCCCCCGCCTTAAAGCTCAGAACAAAGATCCTTTTTCACCAGCCTAGTGGCTCAGATGAAAAATGTTGTGAACTGTAGTTGTTCTGCCATGATAAGAGGAGCCAATATAAATGCATCAGATACTATCCTAACAATTTCTTATCACAAAAGGTTTCCTTTAGCACAGAAGCGAAATCCAACTGGGTGAGTACAACTCCAGTGCTCAATGCACTGAATTAATTTTATACCAGAAACCAGTGTTAATCATCAGGTAAAGTGCTTTAAATGATTGCTGTCTGATCACCAGAGTGAATAACTGAAAAATGCTGAAAGTTGGAAAATAGTGGATACTGACACCTGCAGACCTGCTTCCTCAGTAACAGCATTTTGATGAGGCAAACCCCTCATCACTAAAACAGGTTTTCACTTTAACAGTGCTCCTCTTGGCATGTACCCCTCTCCATTACCTTGGTCTTTTCCCTTCCAAACTTTTAGCTCAAGAGGTTACCTTTTATTTTACTTGATCAGGTTTACTTTACTTGAATTTTACCAGACCAGTTCTCCTATGACAAGGCCAAAAAAAACCAACTTAGGAGCAACAGATTTTCAGAACTGGGCAGGCCTTTATGAACTATTATTTTGGTCTGAAATTATTACCCATAGATACTGTAAGATGTATTACCATCATACACAAGGAAGACTATTATTCTAGCGGATAGGTGATAAAGACTAACATATTCCTAGTATTGGAGAGGTGCCTGAAAAAAACCCATACAAATACATACATCGCATCATGAATTTTGGAAAATTTCCTTCACGTGTAGTCTGAAGATAAGACGCATCTTTACAAAAGGCATGTGGGAACAGCAAGTCTACTGATGAGAGAAGTTAGTCACATGCCACAGCATGACAGCTACTCAACCTATATGCAGAAAGGTCCTAGAAACTGGAGAACAAAGCTCTTCTCAGACCCCAATGTATTAAGCCACATTAACTATGTGGGACTGCCATTCAAAATTAAAAACCACTCCAAAACCAGGATTTTCAAAGATGACAATAGTTCTCCTCATCTAAACCAGTATGGCTGCTGAAAAAGAGCATGCCTACCCTAGGTATTTTCACACTGAGATTTCACACTGGAAAGAAATTAATACAATGCTTCAGTTGAACAAAATCTGATGAAAATAAAGCAGTATTTCTTTTTTAAACCTCTCCCTATCAAAAGCAACTAGAAAGGTCTAGGAAAGTAACACCAAAGTTTTTAGAAGCTTCTCTGAGTAAAAATTTAACCAAAATAAGATCCCAACAGCTTCAACATCATGACTTTGAGGGCACTAGTAAGTGTTAAGCATAGCAGTAGAACAAAGTCATAAAAGCATAGAAAAAAATAATTGATTTTGACTTGATGCAGCTAACCCCAACATTCAACATGTAAGAACTGGAAAAATTAAAAGAGAAAAAAATGTAAAGTCAAAAGTAATCAGAAAGAACTCAGACTGCACTTCTGCTATACCAGAGCAGAAAGCTATGCCAGAGATTTTGCAGTACTTACATTGTATATTAACATAGTAGACATGTAAATAAAATTTTAGTCCTAAAAGATGGACAGTATTTATTATGCTTTATCAAGATTTCTGAGAGTAAATACTTTCTTCTTCAAACTACAATTGCTATGCCAACCCAGGTGCCCATGATGAAAGGCTGCAGAAAAAACTTCCGTAACTTTTAATTTCATGCCAAAGAAAGGGAATAGAAATGTTCTGCATTATGCAACTCATGTTCCACATGTCCAGCTCTAACGTGTATTGAGTATTTTTACTGCTGCGTTAATAAAATGTAAAGATAACCCAGTTCCAGCATCACACTGAAATATGGTTTAATTTGGTCACTATGAAGACTTGGATGGCTGTGGTGTATTGCTGTTAAAGATAATAATAGCATCCTATCACCAACAAGCACAGGAGCAACAGTTGGGTCCGCAGTATTATTTTCCAAGGTGGACAGTGTCAGGGCTTAGAAGAGACTACTGGTTTCATTTCAGAATTGTTTCAGTCAGGAGCATTCACTGAAACTACAGCAAACATGGGAAACATGAAGATGAGCTAAATCTTTTCCATACCAGACACAGTTTTTATAGCAATTTTACCAACAGCCACAAAGGAACTGTCTACAGATAGCAACACTGTTAAAATACTACAGCCATGGGTGAAAACAAATCAGAATTAACAAGGCACTCATTACAACAAGATCTAAGGAATACCATACAGTTACCATTTTGAGCCTACCTTATTTTATAAGCTAGCTGTCTACTCTCTATCTTACTCATAATACTACCTGCAACCCACTGTACACATCACAGATAGTACACACTGGTTCTATCTACAATACAAATGAAGGTAACCCTAACAGGGTCTCAACCTGAATGTAGGACAGCTGTAAAATAACTAATTATATTGGCTTGGTAGAAAGCCAAGAGACAAGCAAGCCAACCACCATTGCCTGCTATCTTCTGAAGCTGAGATTCAGGAACACAAAGTGTAAGCTACAATATGTATGGAATTATAAAGTTAATAGTATTTGTGTATTTTTTTAAATATGCAGTTTACACAGGATGACAGCTTGATTTCTGGTTCACTTTCCTTATAAGCAGGGCTACTCTGCAACTGTGGCTCCACAAAATTATAGTTAATCACATTACTCCCTGGAACAGGGCTACTACTGGGTTCAAAAAAACCCTCAGAAAACAAAAAAATAACCCCAAGCTTCTGATACACATGCTGCTACTAATTACATCTGGAAACACTGACAGACCTGACCAGAAGCTCATCATTCAGTAAGGTGATGACATTAAAAAAAGTACAACAAAATGTTAAAAATATGCTCTAACTTGAAACAATGTGATTGTTTAAGCATACTTGCGTTCAAACCAGTTTAGTTTTCATGGTTATTATAACTCAATTTTATTTCTTCTACAGATCTTTTATTTACATTTAAATACCTGCTTAAAAAAAACCCAACAAGCTATCACATGTCTTAAAGAAGGTCTCCACTATGCCTCACCAATTTGGTAGATATGTTGCTCTTATAGCTTAACACAAGGAAAGGAAAGAAGTTTGCTAGGTTTTGCACTTAATTCCTGCATCTCAGCATGTTAAAAAAAGCAACTATAAATCGTATTTCTAGAATGCTTTGGGTATAATCTGACTTCGGTCAAGACTGTATTAGAAACCATAAGAAGTGTAAAAGTTTACCAAAATTCTATCAAAAGTATTTTGTAAATAGTGCTCACTTACGAAAATTCAGTTTGGACATAAAGGCCTTCAGATTTCTCTGATTTATGAGCAGTTCAGACACAACTGCACTGAACACATGCCACTATTCAATTACAGCTGAACCAAGAAACTAAGTTATAAGAAAACATAGCACATTAGACATGTGAATTACAACCAACTAGACCAGTTACATCCAACATGCCTTTCTTCCTTCAAATCTTAAAATGCAATTAATTGTCTCGGCACTGAATTTGTTCTGAATAAGAATACAGGTTGCAACCTCAACCTGTGTGAAGGAAAACAACAACAACAACAACAATCAAGAAAAATAAATCTATTAAGCTTCATTGTTCTCAACTTCACCATCTTTGCAAGTCAGTTGCTTCAACTCCAACAGTAAGCAACTATAATTTTATGCTACAGACTGGTAAAAAAATAGATTGGTTGACCAGATGTAATTCTATTTTTAACTTTCTGTTTTGTAAGGGAAATATCCAAAGTTTCATTCAGCCATGACAACCTGGCAGAAGGGAATCTTACATCATACTGCTGACATTAAAAGAAGAGCAAGCTACTTTGCTTGAAGGCTACATTGTTTGTTTGTGATCTGTTACTCTCCTATAGATGGTTATGAAATTCAGTTACTAGGGTCAGACTGTGCTTACAACTAGACTGTGTTTACATTAGCAATTCCCTGACTGTGGGCTTAACTTAAGAGAATTACACCTCACAAAGTATTACCTTCATTATGAGGCAATTGAATTCTTTACCATTGTTTCAGTTCCTTCTTAAGAGGAGAGACCAAAAGACATTGGATGCTGATGGAAAAAGCTGGAGAAGAAAATGCAACTAGTCCAGACACGACTGATTTTTATAAAAGGTTTAGGCCAGCTTCTCTTGCCACTGAAGATAGGCAACAGTGTATTTTAGATGTCCAACAAACCCTAAGAATAGTATGTAAGGACACTATCTTATGCTGTCTACAATCTGTGCCAAACATAACACTTAAAAAGGAACTTGGGCATTACAGCATCTAAGGCTGTCTCACGAACTTATAGGTATGTACTCAGGAAGGCAGTTATGATCCACAAGCTTTTTTCCAGACACAGATAAGTTCTCTTGTAGTTTTTCTAGTCATCTCTACACAAACTTGTGACAGCCTTTAATAGTTTGAATCTGTGAGATTATTTACAATATGTAAGTATCTTGAGAGGCTTTTGGATTTTCTTCCCCTATTCCAATCAGTACAGTGCTGTGTGACACTATTATAGAGTTGACCCACAGTACCAGAAAACCAGGTAGTACGTCAACAATAACTGAAGATTATCCTTTCATCTGGCAAAATGACAAATTCTATTGGCAGTTCTAGTAAGGGTAAAGTCACCCATTACTTCACTGCTGCCACCATTTTATGTATTCCTCTTTCCTGCTTGACACATTTCAGGTAGGAAATTATAACAAAGATGATTTTATAAATATTGTAGCAAAGTCTAAATTACTTCTTAGTTACATACAGAAAGACTCTTCAGATGACAGGAAGTTAATACTTGCAAATATTTGTCTGTACTTAATGAAAAAAACAATATATTCTATCATTGTACTTAAGTTCATGTCACAGGATCCTGACTAAGCGTGACTTACTGCAAATGATAAAGTCTTCTGAACAAATACTGAGGAATTAAATAACAGGCATGAGAGCAGTCTTTGCTGGCAAAGATGCATCTAGATCAAAACCATTCTTAGAGTGCTGAGCAGCATCTGCTGCAATTTTCATCTGACTTTAAAACTTAAGAAAATTAAATTTTATCTTCAGCTTGAGTCAGACTTCCTACTAAACATCAGCTTTTAGCGTTTTAAGATATTCAGAACTGTTAATTTTAAAAGAAGTGTTGATATGCATAAGTATGGAACAAGTTTGTTAAGATACACATATGCTCAAATTTATATGAATTCAATCACTCACTAGTAAGTAAGAAGCTGTCCCCTTCCTGCCCTCCCTCCAAGAGTTTACATTCTAAAAACTTCCAGTACAAGACTAATACTTAAACTGACAATTCACACCCAGCAAATAAGGCTGCAAGTATCCTAGAACTGCAAAGCAATGCTTTCGTTAAACAGTTTTTCTTAGTATTTTTAAACTCCATTATTCCCTTCACCCCAGTCTCACTCTTCTGTAGAATGGAGTTTATTAAGAACTCCATTCTTCAAATGCAACAAGCCATTTTGACTGCCATGAGTCAGCAGGAATTGTACTGCCAGGTAATACACAGAAATCCTAACCTTTTACTTAGAAACTAAGCACTTCACCCAAATGGAATTTTAGAGTGCTTTACTTTCAAAATAGTCTGGGAGCCAAAACCACCCTCACGGCTGTCAGGTTTTTTTACTACCTTTATTGTGGCACTAGTCCCATTTTCTCCATTCTGCTAAGAGAGTACTCGAAAAGCATCCTTAACAAAGACCTTAACAGTTCCTCAAGACCAACACACCAGAACAGGAGACACCTACTTAGAAAGTAAACAAACCAACAGCTTCTGTTAAGTCCCCAGCTGTACCCAGCTGTTAACTCTGCAAACATACCTGGCTCAGTCTCTGTTTTCAGTGTTACTTTTTCCTCTCTTGAAATGCTCATTTCTGTCATTTGCTGTGTTACAGGCAAAGCGGCAACAGGCACATTTCTGTTTAAGTACAGTGAAACATGTTGTTTACATTAGTTTTGCATTCATAATAAAAGTTTAAACTGTCCAGACCCATTAATAAACTACCCATTCAATTACTATCCTCAGAACACATTGTTTACTCTATTTTAGTTTCCTTAGAAGAAAAAGGGAAAACCTGTAGCTTACTCTCCAGATAAATCAAATACATCAGTCAAACACCAAATATTTTAATCAGTTCTCATTTACACAGATTCATAAAGCACTGTGAGGCAGACTGTCCCTTTTTCCTCTGCAGAAACTCACTGCAATAGGGCAGGACTGCTGCAGACCTTCCACATGCTGCACACTCACAGCTCATTCAAACCTCAAAGTAATACCTTTATCTTACCTTGATTTTTCAGATGTGCTGCCAGCAGCACCTTCACAGTTGTTTAAGTTAGTGTCTGCTCTCTGTACAGATGCAGAGTCTGAGGTAGGACTGTTTGAACCACTGGCTGTTCCTATGTAACAAGAATTTGACAAGTTAATTATGAAAAATTTGTAGAATACGTTAGCCAAACAGTCTTGTATACAGATATGAACAGTCTGCATACAATTTTCACTGCTTCTGCATACTACTTCTTACTTAAAATACAGGCTAAATATAGTTATCAAAATACAGACATTGTATAAGAATATACTAACAGAGACGGAAAGCAATTATGGTTGAATGCCAAATGGACCAGAACACACGACACAGAATTTTTATCTTTCATCTTTACTGTGATTTAAAGTAGTATTCTCTTTGATATTCATTGTTTTAATAGAGAGTTTTCAGAAGTTCTCCTGAAAAAATGTTCTGGGATTCCTTGTCACCTTCTATGTTTTAGTTTAAAAGTATTAAAAAAACCCCAAAGCCCCACACCCTTACCCATTGGGCTGATTCTATCGCTATTCTGCTGTCGCTGAAGATGCTCTTTGTAGCAAACTGAACACATCCCATTTGTCCTAGGATTTCCATAAAATCCACATCCTGTACTACACAGCATGGGCCCTGGGGTCTGGTTTGTCTCCTGAGTCATCTTGATGCTGTAAATAAAACCAAGAACTGCATTAGGAGCTGGCATTTCACCAAAATCAATTATGGGGTTATAGAATTAAAGTATGTCTGCTTACCCTACACCCCTCACCCCCACCCTGAAAGTGGTATCAGCATTCTTAAAGAGGGTTATATGGATGTTAATATACCATTCAGTACTGCAACAGTATTGCTAAGTAATGTTATGAACCTTTAAGAGAAGCAAAAGTGTCATCATAGTAATACTGAGAAATAATGTACTTGTTGGGCACAAAGCTGCACAATGGTAAGTTATGACCAAATCCAATTTGACAGCCAAAAAGCCCTTTAATATCAACCTCTGAGCACTAACAGGGATATGCAGAATAAGCAAGACCAAGTTCATGTCTACTGAACAGCTTTGGCAAATAACATAGATTATTTTTTCCCCCCAACACCAGCAGAAGAGCCCCACTTTATCAGCAATGTTGATCTCATTAATTTTGATGCTAATTCCACTATTAACAGTTCCTACTCTCACATTTGTCAAAAAAAACAATAAAAATCCCTGAAGTATTGGCAGCAGCCATTTAAAGTCTGCATTCCTATCTTTAGAAGGAGTTTCCAAAACAACACTGTGAATACTCCTTAAACTGTGTATGAAACCCAATACTAAGTACTAGCTGGCAAGAACATGTGTGCAATGGCCACTTCAACCAAGAATCTAAAAAGCATTTCTGAAATAAGCCTTACTCTTCCAAGAGAAATTAGATTTACAAATGTTGAATATGTTCTATTACACAGCCTACGCATTTAAAAAAAAAAGAAAAAAAAAGAAAAAAAAAGAAGCCAGTTAGATCCTTTGTCTTAATAAAGTTCTAGCAAGACTTCTGAGCCTCCCGAAGGCAGACAATGGTAACTCTGCCAGGAACTGCCGAGGTTAGGAATAAAAATACTTCACCTTCGCTGCTGGTTAACCTCTGAAAAGCAAGGTTAGTAGAAAAACTGAACAGCAGCAAAATCCTTGATTCCCAAGGGCAATAAAATCGGAACACAGTAATCAAGCAATCTGCTACAAATTGAGGACACATAAGAATATGGCACTTGTCCTCCCAAAATTTAAATTTAGCAGAAGCGCTATACATGGCACCTGGAGACATTTTAGCATAATTTCCAGATTGCTCTCTTCCTATTCAGGAACAGTCACAGTAAGAGATACTTGACTGCTAATGCTTGTGAGAAGCTGAAAACACCTAAAGTATATTGATTACTGTGTATAGAGAAGTGCTTCTATATAAGAAATAAGTATTATTCTTCTTATTTTCTTAAATCATGAAATCTCACACTACAAAAGTAGAAAAACTTACGTTAGACTAGTATGACAACCACAACTAACAGCTGCCTTTGTCTAGTTAGCTTCTGGGATCATAAACAAACCAAGAGTATGAGAAAGTAAACAAGAAAAATTCATCTGCTTGCCTGCTGGTGGGCATGGGATCTCATTTTCAAGGTAAAAAACCCTGTATTATTTATGCCTTTATAATACCTTACAGGCACAGATAGTTTCCTTTCAGGACTACAAAATAGCTTCACACTCACACTGATGCAGCTTTACAGCCATTACACAAGAGTCAAGGGAGTCAGAAAAAAACACGATGCACTTAGAGAAATCTAAGAAAAATCTCATCGTCTATATCGTAGGCCTATGTCTATATAATACAAAGAAAGCCCGTACTTCTGCTCTTTTATTAAGCAGGTAAACGCAAACTGCTATCAAACACATTGCCACCACCAACCTCGGCTGACTTGCTCCACTTCCAAACTAGCATGCTCGCGAACATGTTTCACCACTTACCAAATCGAGCTTTAGGTGCTAATGCTGCTATTAACCTACTACAAAACGGAGTCTCCGCAGCTCCTTTGTCAGCGCATCCTTCCACTACTTGGAATGCACGCCCCTAACTGGAAGGTCAACCCCAGCGCTTAAGTCGCGTTTCTCCGCACTGTGGGAGTGCCGCGGCTGTGCCCTGTGTTTCCCCTTAAGCCGCCCGCAGGAAGCCGGCGTCCCTGCCCGCCGCCAGCAGGCAGCCAGCCGCCGTGCGCTCACCCCGGCTGACCCCGCTCC